TCCTGTCTTCCACCCCCTAAAACATTTTTTAGTGTTTTCTTTTAACAAAAATTTTTTTTTAGAAAACTTGTTAAACTTGTGGAGGCCATTATCGTATTGTTATTTACGTTCTTTAACTTTTTAAGCGAAAAAAACTCTTAATTTAAAAAGGATTTTCTTGTCTCTATCCGTGCTCCTAAATACATATTTTACAGAAAACAGAATAATCCTTTTAAAATGATTTTAAATGTTGGAATACAATCCCCTTTTTACAATGAAAGCGTCAATAGTCAAATGTATTGTACATAATTTATTGGTTTTTTATGAAACAGTAAAATAAAAGGAAAAGAAACAGTGAATATATGCTGTCAATTATGATTATTTGATTATTATCAATTGAATATCAATAATGTCAACTGCATGAGTTGTTAACATTTAATTATCCTTCACAAACTATTAGAAAAGTTAAACCATGACCTTTTTTATTTGTAAGTGAGTTCATCTACTTACGAGGATCGTGCGAAAATCTGCATCAATGTCCGTGAATACACAATAATTTCTGAAATATGATGATGTAAATTTCAGATTGAAGTAAATTTTTTCGTTAGTTTCTATAATTGCTCTTTTTTTGTTAGTTTCTATATTTGCTCATTTTTTAGTTAGTTTCTATATTTATACTAATTAGATTATTGGCCATAAATAGTTAAGGATGTGGAGGTGACCTGACCTAACGACCCTATAATGATGATAATGATGATGATGATGATGAGACTAAATAAACAGCTAAAACTCAAAATTCTACAAAGCGTTTATAAAACACGTTTAAGTGTTTAATTAATTACTGTTCCACATCACTCAATTATATTTTGTGTATGATAAGACTAGATTTTAATCTGTTCTACTATAACCTTGGTTTCTTTTACAATGTTAAAATATCCTTTTGAGATTCGTAGCAAGTAGAAATTATTAAAAATATTACAATACTTAAAAGATCTTTGCTTCTTTCAATGTTCAAAAAAGTTTTAAGTTCATTTGCACTGATTGTCTGACTATAAGGTGTAATAAAGGATAATTTTATAATAGTTTTTGCCATATTCGCGCTAATGGAAGTTATTAGAAGCACACCATTAACATAATTAACGACGTCCCTTTCTACAAAGGTGATTTTTTGCGCTTCTAATTAAGGTTCTACGTATTTCAAAGAGACTATGGAAGAAAGATTTAATTAGTACTTCCAGCAATGAACTATTATTAATGAGAGCAATATTGAGAACACTGACCTGTCGCATGTTTAAATTTCAATCTTTAATTATCTACAACAGACGAGAAACTCCGTGTAACCGAGACTAAATCAATAACGCCATTGAGCAGTGCGATTTTGAAAGTTGACTCTACCGACTCTAATAACTTAACCACAACCAATCAATCGACCAGGTTGATGCACTTATTTTATGATGATTTCTAAGGCTTTTTCAGCAATTTACTCAATACCAAAAGGAAACG